GATAGACCATATCCAGCACACAGAGAAGCATCTTATTCTCCAGCAGGCTGGACACTCATCCTTTCAAAATCTAAATGCTGCAAGCTGGCACCAGCTGTAGCCCCTAGTGAGCATTACACAGAGCAGTTGACAACCCCCTGAATCACTCCTGGATCATAAGGAGAGAAGAAAAGCTTTATTTATCTTTATTTCTTTTTGCCCTCTTCTCTCCCCCCTCCATTCCTAATTTCTAAAATAATAAACTATCAGCCTTGCAAAGTTGGATTCTTTCTACAGGCAGATGGAGTGTTTATGAGGGAGAGGGATGGTGGAAGAATTAAGCAGTAACACATTAGTGTAAACAAATGCACAGTGACAAATTTGGGATTTCTTTCCTACTCCCAACAAGGAAGTGTTATGATATGCAAACTGGCTCCTGTTAGCACTTAATATTTTTTCTTTGATGCTACTTTTTAACTTTCTTGGAGCAAAAGTTTCTTACAGCACTATTTGTTGCCAAGAATTAATATAGTAACCAGCAACAAAAAGAAGTAAACAAATTCCCTTCCCAAAGGCTGAATTTGCAGGTTATTATTTCTTTTATTCAAAAACTCCAGGAAATCATTCAAAATCTAATCTTTATTTAAAGCATAAACCGCAATCAATGCCTAAACCTGCAGTGGCATCTCACAGTTACAAAATGAGCCTAGATATGCAGACAGTCAATAAAAAACACAAACAAATCTGCATTAATGCAGATTTAACCCAGTAAGCCCAAGGTTTCTGATTTGTTTTTAAAACCTAGAAGTTTGGGTCTAGATGCACTGGCCACCTTCTAAGTGCTCTTTGCTACTGTACATCAATTGTGCAGCTGCTCTCCCTCTTTTGTTTGGAAATGCAATGTCCTTCCTAGTGAATTTGTTTGAAACTCTCCCATTTGCTCCTTTGTGAAATGCCCTCTCTGCATAGGGAAGGTGGAGTAGAAATAAAAGGAAGGCTTTGTTGAAGAGAGAAGTATTGCAATTTGCTCAAAGGCGGTGAAGATTTGGGAGCAGCCTTATCACCCCGTTTAAATGTGGTGATCTTTCATATTCATATTATCTAAAAACAGGTCCAGCTTTGTCACCAGCACGCCTCAGACCTCCATAAACATCACTGAAATTGAAAACCCTCCAGCAGAATGTGGATCAGAAGGACTGAAGGACCGACCTGATGGGTAATTAAACTAGGGGGCAAAGATGATTATCAAAAGGCAGTACATTATAAACTTATATCCCTTTTAGATGAGCTGCATCATGATCACAAATGAAAATTAAAGTATTATAAGGAAGCAAATACAGAGCCTGTGGGTCTTCTGCTATTAAAAAACAACCTCTTGCCTAAAATAAGCTGGATGTGATAAAGGTAACTCCTGAATGGTTACTTTGACCTAAATTTTTCAAATGCAATAAAATTCATGCAAGTTTCTCATCACTTTTCTAAAAACTATGATTGCTTCCACTGAATACTGAATTTTTAAGCCACCAAAAGCATATTTAAAAAACACATGTGATATCAAAACAGCTCTAACAGTACAGTTTTCTCTTTAATATGAGTCCAAAGACGAGCTGCAGACTTGGATACCTAATTTTTGAGACRGGGGCACTATTTTCTATTAAAAAGCATATGGTTATCAATTATTTTCAGCGAGATTACATGCAGGATTGGTTTCTGTGCCTAGTATTTCTTGTGTCTTCTGGCACTAAAAAGAGAACCTTAATACACTTCAAATAACTATGTATTTCATATTAAACAAACCATGCCTAGATTAACTATATGTATAATTAATATATCCCTGATCTATGTGACCACTGCTAGTAGAAGTTCATTCAATAAGTGATCTAATGAATAACTCTGGGAAAATAAGAACCAACACAAAGACAAAAAAGCCTCAAAATATTAAATGTTGTATGCACCCATCCCTTGCATTCTGTTGTGTCTTTGCTTCCCTAGCCTGTGTAACTTTCAGGTTTGTGATTGTATCTGATCACCCAATCAAGTCCTTCATCTCTGGGAAGCAGAGATGGGAATGGGAATGGGAAGCAGTAGTCACAAATATCATCAATGAGGAGAGGAGAGTCTTTTGGTGATCCTTATTGGCAAGATGCAATTTTGATATAAAATATGAACACCCAGTGCAGAATACAACACTGTGTGACTGAAATTCTGCACTCAGAGCAGTTCTTTGGCCCCAAAGAGATGCCTACCTCCCTATTTCCCAGAATCCAGGGTGTGATTCACACACAGAACCACAGGGTGTCTTGAGCTGGATCATTGAGTCCAGCTCCTGGCCCTGCACAGCACCATCCCCAAGAGTCACACCATGGGCCTGAGAGCATTGCCCAAACTCTTACTGAACTCTGCCAGGCTTTGCGCTGTATATTTGTATTTCTAGTTCATGGAGATAAGGGAGACAGCAGTTTGAATGGCTACAGCTGATGTCATGCCTGCACTCTGATTTCAGGTGCATTAGCAAGTTTTAAACTGTGCACTACCATAGCTGCTATCTGGGCAATGATCAAGGTCAGTAACTGGTTTTGATTCCTTATCTGAACAAATTTTCCAGACTGTAAGATCAAGAAGTTTTAAAACACTAAATATGTATCTTCCCAGCTGGCACAAGCAAAAGTAAATATTATACACTAATTTTTTGGTAAGATAAAATAAATTTAGGCTGCTGAGCACTCAGACAGAATACCCTGCCAGCTGCTCTGGTCTTTTACAGACAACTCTGCAACTCATCATGCGCTGTCTCAATGCCACACTTCTGGGTAAAATCTGTAGGCTAAACTTTATGCCTGATCTGACCTCGGCCCCAAAAGCAATACAAGCCAGAAAGTTCTGTGAGTAGCAGTTCCAAGAACACACTCTTTAACTCTTTAAATGAGCTTCCATATTGTGAACCAGCTTCCCATTTGTGGTGGGTACTGTTGAAACACAGTTAGCCAATTAGCCTGGCTCTGGGTTAGGAAGGTCTGGGTGTCAGCTGCAAGGTCAAGGAAAGCAATGAAAGCAAGGTCCTAATTCTGTAGGGATACATAAGGTCACTTGGCTGGTTTGTAGCCATTTTCAGTTTTTCAAGCCCACAGGCCACATCTATTGTTTTGACACCAAACAGTGACTGTGGTAGTTTCTGCCAAACTCCCTGACCCCCTGTGCTGTCAGCGGGGTTTTAAAGCTGTCATGGAGCAGCAAGAGGAGCCTGCTTCACAAGGCAGGCAAACCAGCAGGAGAGGGGCAATGTAGGGCAGTGACCAGAGTAGGGCAGTGCCAGAACCATCTGGAGAACATCAGAGCAGGTCTGATGGCGGAACCAGGCTCACACAACGATCCTGTGATCACTGGGCAAATCTGCGAGGGGCATCCATGTCAAATTAGGAAGTCAAATCATCAAGGCAAAGGCAGAACCAGTCAGGCTGGGCACAGGACTGAATTCCTGCAAAGCAGATCAGGCAAGCACCAAGGGCGAGGACCTGGGCTCAAATACAGCTCACGAGTCAAAGGCCTCATGAGACTCCTATGAGATTTCCCGCAGCTCTCTCACACTGCTCCTCCTCCCAGACCTGCTGCATCCAAGGTCACCCAGCTGCAGGTAATCAAACCCTTTAAGGACCAGGAGGGGAGCTGGAAGTGCCTTCAGGATGTCACCTCTGCACCAGGGACACCAGGAAATGCTGGTGCTCGTACACTCTCCACCACTGGGCACTGTCCTGAGCAACTTCAACCATTCTGAATGACCGACACGAGGAGCTGACCAGGCCATTAGTGTGTACCCAGGAGGCAGCCCCGCCAGACTCAAAAAACCTCTGGGCATTTCTACACTCTCAAGCATGATATGCCCATGTGGCATAAACACTCCAAGATTTCTCATCATTTACTGCACTGACCCTGTTTCCATATAACCAAAAAGATACTCTCTAAGAAAAAGGCTGTGCACACAGAGGAATATCCCATCAAACTTCCTAGTGAAAGAGCATATACTAGTCTGTCTCAGTTTAGCTGTCAATGGGAAGCCAGTGTTTAAATATGAACATGTAAACTTTTGATCTTCCTCCCCAACATTTAAATAAAAACCACTTTTGCAAAGTAACACCATATGTTGGAGTACCCTTATAATTTTTCTCAGACAGCATGGTACAAAAAGCTCTTAGAGCTTTAGCACTGCTGTTTCCTTGTGCTTGCTAAGGTAGCAGACCAATTAAAATGGTAGTTCCTTCTCTTATAAAAGAGGTATGCAGTCCACAGCATCCTAAGATTAACTCATTGTTTCAGTGTTTTCTGCACTCCAGATTCAGATTCCCAGTGGGATGGTGTCACAAATGAGCAAAGTAATGAAAGACGAAGGATACATAAAGGGGAAAGTTGATAGCTGTGCTCCTGTCAGTCACTCTTACAATGACCACACCAGTTTCTGCTGAGTCACTGCTGACCAAGTTATTGATGTTACAGAATGTTCTTTGAATCCCCTTCCAGAAGGGGATCACATAAAGCTGTTCAATCAATTGACAGTTTCAGTGAATATTTGATGAAAGCAGCTACACAGGGCACAAGCTAGAGAAGACTAAGCAGTACAGCTGAACAAGAATGCTTCTCTTCACAGACATATATTCCTTCACTTCAAATCCACGTCTGTTTCTCATCTGTCCTGTAACCATTCAAAATATCCCTGTAGTCCACATATTAAGGAAACCCTGTTAAACTAGAATCTTTATGGTCATGTTCTCCTGCATGATTTCCTTCTAGAATCCGTAAGCTTTCTGGTACTGTGAACAATTCAAAGTTCAGTGAAACAGGAAAGTAGCACCTCTATGTTTCAACTTCATGCTTCTGCTTTCCTTCTACTATTCCTGGTGGGAAGAAAAAATCTTTTGGCTGGAAATAATAATAAGCAGCTTCTGCTTATGGTCTAAGATTAGGAAGCGAAACAACCTCACAGAAACATATCAGTTCTTCAATAGTCAACAATTCATACCACAGCTAGCACAGCAAAACTCCCACTCCAACTGTATTTAATTTTGTTTATTGAGGACAACAGAAATATTTTCTCATATCAAAGTCTGAAGCAGGAATTACCAACGAATTCTGGCACACAATCACATTCTTTTAAAATACACTATTATACATCACGAGATCTCTGAAACTTTCCATAAAAAAGTGAACTTTCCATAAAATTCAGACCACATTATTTCAAAAGGTTTGGAGGGCAGGGATAAAAATGATAATAAAAGAAAAAATTATAGTACAGTTACAGTCCATGACAAATCAATCAAAAAAGAAAGCAGGAATATCCCTAACATAACAGGATGCCTGAAATGCAATTCAAGGCATGGTGTTGTGTAAAAATGTTCAAACTTTTAACAAAACTACAAATCCTGATTTCTTATTTATTTCATTGGATTGTTGCTATATACAGAGTATGAAAGAATATATTTATTGGGTTACAAACAGAAGAATACATGGGAGGAAATTTAGTATGGATTTCTGTATGTCTGACAATGCTATTCACTTTGACTTAACATGGATAGTGAACAGGAACAACGTCCCACTGACAGATGACTCAAAGGAATTACCTGCACAAGGCCTAAGAATCAACATTAACTGAATAATCACAGAATGGGTCAGGTTGGAAGGGACCACAGGGGGTTGTCTGGTCCAAGTTCCTTGCTCAAGCACTTGGCACAGGAATACTATACAGATTGTTCTTGAATATCTCCAGTGAGGGAGACTCCACAACCTCTCCAGATAATCTGTTCCAGTGCTCAGTCATCTGCACAGTGAAGAAGTTTTTCCTCGTATCCAGGTGGAATCTCCTGTGCATCAGTTTCTGCCCATTGCCTCTTATCCTATTGCTTGGCACTGTGGAGAAGAGCCTGACTCCTCTCTTGAGAATCACATTGATTTTAGAACTAAACAAATACATATATCACTGAAATTGAATTACAAAGTGAAACATAACCATTTTTAAGAAATCATTTTGAAGGTAGGTGTTTAAATTAGAATTCTGGACTGAAAAGAAATACTGAGTGCTCACATGTCTTATTCATTATAGAAGCAGAGCATGACAGATTATTTCTCAGTTGAAAAAGAAATAAAAAGTTGTTTAGCTAAAGGTACCAAATGTAAAAGCAATTTTTGTCCCTTGTAAGAAAGTGTTACAATTTACAAGAAGGTAATTTTGTTTCACTGGCAGATGATGCTTACATCAGTGTAGTGAGGTTTCAAAGTTTTCAGGGTTTCAGTAACAATGGTATAACCCTTCAGATACAGACATGATCCACAATCAAGACACAAACCACAATACAGCATAGACATGACACATTAGTCATGGTGAGGAAAGTCTTGTAATATAAACAACTATTAAACATATGCAAAAATTATAGTTTATGTCTTAAATTCACACTCAGGAATAGATCACAATGTTATAAAAAACAGTTCAGCTTTTCCATGTTCAAATGCACAAAACAATGTAGGTAGACTGGGATGCTACTGTGCCTCAGCTACCTGCAACTTCAGTTTTAGTGATTCTGGTCTCATAACAAGCTTAGACTTAACACGATAAGTGACTATCAAGCTGAACAGCCTCAGCTTTGTGTGATTTCTTCCACAGTCACATGGTTCTGTTACTCAGCAAAGTTAATAAAAACAGGTTTTCATAAACAAAAATGATCCCAGTGGTAACTATTTCACCATCTCAGTTTGCCACTTATGGATATGAATTCTTTACTGAGGAGGAAGGTGGTATCTCCTCCGGTCTGGATGTCCTGATACTCCACCTGAAGTAAGAGAGGAATTAAATACATTCAATGAACATTAAAGCAGGAAAACAAGAGCTTATTAAGATAGCCTGCAAGAAAAGTTACATTTATATGTATCTTAAAAAATAAGATGTCCCCATCCAGGTGGTGTATGATTACGGCTAGTATTCTGAGATGTTGGAAGATAAAGTCCACTCTTCTTAAAACTCTTAGATGACTGTAACTTTTAAACCTAGTCCAATTAATCGGTTGGGATAGTGAATCATAACTGTGGGCTGGTACATGCAACTGTGAATTCTGGAAAGGAAAACATGCTGTTTAGAACCAGATACAAGCTAAATTTACAAATATTTTCATACTGGTTTAAGCGTGCCTGTGCACAATACTGCTTTAGTGACAGAGTCCTATTAGCAAAGCAGTACTCATGCTGTAAATTAAATATATTTTTCAGCACTGAAGTCCCATCTGCATTACAATTCTGCCAAAATCCTATTAATCAGAAACAAGCTTGAACAAAACACCAGTGTGGAAGCCTTGACTGAGTATCTTGCAAATGAGAGGCTGCTTGTATTATCAGCAGTTATGTGTTTTACAGTGTGCTAAGACCGAAGCGAGTGTACTCTTTCGGTGCAATTACATTCCATGAAAAAATGGATTATTAAAAGTGATTTCCACAGTTCTTAATGCTCAGTTTATTTTTAGGTTCTTATAGAATGAGTTAACATTGTGATGTAAAACAATGTATGATGTAAATATGATATAAATATAATGGTAAAACAATGGTCTTAATTTCTAATGAATGAAGTGTGTTGCAGCCACAAACTTAAAATCCATAAATTATCAAACAAGAAGTGTTGATGGAAAATCTACCTTCCTGTGAGGCTTAGATGTCCTGCTCTGGGTTACATGGATGTACGCCTATCCATTTGTAATACACACCCAAGAAACTTACAGAGAGAAGTTAAATGAATAAAATCAAACAAAAAAAAAATCCCAACCCTCCCATAAAAAACTCCACAGCTGAAGTCCCTACTCTCAAAATACAGCTACAGGATGAGCTGCTTTTTACAGCAGCTCAGTGGTTACTCTTGGCCATACAATGAAGGATGCCTAAGTCCAGTTCTTGTTCTGCCTGAGAGGATTCAAAGCAGTCTCTCAGAGAAATAACAGAACTTTCCTCCACTGGTGAAGTTGAGACATTGTCATGGAATTCTTAAACATTAACTGATAAGTGAGAGCAAAGCCTGTCTAATCATTATGTACACTCCTGATACAGAAGATATGGGTACCATGGTTACTGTTCCATTATTTTTTACTGCATTTAATCAAATAGTTTATACATAATATGCAACAGCAGGAACCATAACAAGGTATCATGAAGGATGGGATACACAGGTATCAGTAATATTATTAGGAAGTTTTATCACATAAGCTACCATGAACACAAAATGCCTACTTTTTTGTTCTTTATTTCTCTCTCTCTTTGGTGAGACACACATAGAACAGAGACAACAGCTACATAGAGAAGCAACCCAAATACCTGTGCTAATAATCCTAAGTTAGCAAACTCAGGAAAAGAATCTTGTCAGAATGAGTCATGTTGGCAGATCAGTTTAAAAAGATCTCAAAAACATTGCAAGACTCTTTTATAAGGACAGAAGTATTTTTTCCAATAAACTTGTTTTACTTACAACACAGGCAATTTAATTGCAGTTATGGGATCTTGTTTTAAGAGTGTCCTGAGGTTAAGAAATAGGCTTAGTGTAGAAGAAGCCAAGATGTTTAAATAATGCTACTGAAAGACATTTATAACACAGCAGCACAGTTACTGTAGAACGTACTTTGTGGAATACACCTAGACATAAGATCTCTGAAGCTGCTCAGAGATGATCTGACTACGAGGTTTCTTGAGGTGGTCAAGAACTGGTAACAATGACCAATTTTGGTTTTGCTTATGGTCAGCATACATACTCTATATTTCAGCCTTATATTTTACACACAGGATCGAAGAATATTATTTGTGAATCACATAGTATTATCTTATTCTCAGGCATTCAAGTGGCAGCTGAAACACATTAAAGACTTTATTGTATCTATTTATTATTTATCTTCTCTAATCATATCATCAATCTTTTTTGCAAACCTCACCTAGAAACCTAAAAGAAATTCTGGCTCTGCAGACTTAATAAAAGAATGTTTCTTAGACACTTCTCTTCCTTTTGCTTATTTTCCCTAACCTACTTGTATGTGCTCCAACTCACAGTAATGGGAAGTAAAACCAAACTATGTTAGCAACAGTGTTATCCTCAGTGGTGTTTCAATGAAATGTCTGTTCTTTTCAAGAAGTGAGACTGGTGAATGACTTAAGATTAATGCCAAGGCAAGGCAGAACTTGCATTTGTATCACTCAGGCAGTGACCTGGAAGCGGAGATCCTGATCTAGAAAACCACTTAAGAATGAGTTTAACTTTATTCACATGCTTGAGTGTTTTGCTGAAGTATGAACAAAGATCTGCAGCTAAAGACTACAGACACATTTCTGTGCAGCTGTGCCAATTAGTTTTAGAACTATTACAATTTTAAACACAGTTCAGCTGCAATCAAGCATGAAAATTGCAAATACCAACTGAAAGCTTTTTTTCCCAGAACATTCTGAGTAAATATGAGTACAGATTACAATTCTACACTCCACCTCACCCTGCAGTTAGTTTTTGCAAGTGGCAGTAGACAGCCATATAACTATGCAAGTTTTGTTGCTGGCTGCTGTAGGCCACACGTTACTGCACACGTAAACACGAATAGCATATAGACACAGAGATTGATGTTATACTGCTGATAGGGACAATTCCAAACCCACAAACATGTACACATTTTTTACCTTGTGATTGAGGATGTCTCTGTGAGAACCCCCTCATCTGGGTATGATATGGAAAAACAAAATGACTTCTGTGCGGTTGATGGAACCTGGGATTAAAATCTCTTTGTTCTCTTCCTGAAAAACAGTATTCACTAAGCAACTCTGATAGTATGTAAGATTAAATGAAGAAAAAGAGAGATAGTGTACTCTTTTCCAGGAAACAATATTTCTTAGTTTTGTGCCAAAATACTCATATACAATTATGATCATTCCAAACAAGAGTCAGCCTAACAAGCATGGTTCTTGTCCTCATTTCCATCTATGCACATCATGATTACAAGCTGTTAACAAGCGTACTTAGAAATCAAATCAAAATTTTATGACACAGATTTGGAGACTGCAGTCATTAAAACAAACAGAAATCTCTGTCCAAATTGGAATCACAAATCATAATTAAAATGGTTAAATATAGCTCTCAAAGAAAAGCAGATGCTACGAAGGTCTGGTATTATAAATCACCAACAGATATCCTCAATTTTCAGTGTCCAGCATGAGCAAGTTGTAGAGCCATATCAGAAGTACTGCTGCTACATAGTGCAAAGTACTCAACAAGCAGAAAATCATTCTCTCTGTTCTAATTTGCTCAAGGAATTCTGAAGGGGTAACTTTTATCCTCACAGATATAATTGATCAGATATTAAGCAAATTATAAATATGATATGAGCATAAACACTGAGATTTGGTGTGAATAGTTTCAAAGTCTCAAAAGCCTCAACATTCAGGCTGATCTGTGATTGATATTAAAAGCCTTTTAGATGTTTTTCACCCTGAAACTCAGGCAGATCAGGAAGGGAAAAAAAATATCTTTAGCAAACTGAGCCATAAAGTCAGGGGAAAAAAGCAAGATCTTAAAACAAAAAGAACACTTCTTCAAAGTACCCAAAAGCTCTCTTCTATTTTGAAATATGTCAGCGAGTCCAATCTTCAGTGTCTCATTCAGACCATCAACTATCGATGTTAAAACAGCTCCCTTGAGCAAATGAAAGAAAAAGCTCTGAGTCATTTAATTCCTTCTATGAAAGTAACTTTAGTCACTGAATAAATAGTGATGTCTCTGTTAATGAATGATACTTACTGCATATATCTCACTAGCTATATAACTAGATGGAAATATTATTCTATGTAAACTTGGTTAATCAAATTCACATAAATTGCTAAAAGGGGAAGTATTTTCTTAGCTCTCTTCATCAGCTTCCTGGAGAAAGAACTTAAAATTTGATGGGCTGCCTGTGCAATTGCTGCTGCTGTTGAAGGATAATTTAGCTCATCAATATATTAACTTTATTGAGAAAGGCCAACACAATGCCAACCTGCATTAAATCCATTTCCTCTTGGTCTGCTCTGTATCGTTCTGTTCTTTGCCGTGCAAACCTTGCAAATGAAAGACTTCAGATTCTGGAAGGGTGTATACAAAGACATCTGCAGACAACACATTTAAAAATTAAAGACAGCTCCACTCTTCTTTCTTCAGGTGTAGCACATATTAAGCACATACACAACAACTGTAAAACTTGTCTTAGCCGCACTTGTGCATACATGAAGGTGGTAGATCTGGTTCACGCTTTTACAGGAAATAGAGTTGGAACATTTAACATTAAAAGTGGAAAATAGAGCAGTTAAAATCAGTCTCTTATTCCCATCCATTAGAAACAAAACTTAACACAAAAGCAATACATCTGCCCCAACTCCAGACTAATAAAACATAACTGTCTAGAAAGAAATAGGGAAATTAAATAAAAGTGTTTACCTTGTGGTGTGATGAAAAATTCTACTGTCAAAAAGAGAAGCTGAAGCTATTTAAGGACTGAGAGATGTGATATATCCTTAACTTTCTCTGATTTCTGAGAGCTTTGGAAAAGTGACAAATCTTGGAATGTGTTTCTTTTCTTCCTAATTTGTACTGGGCATGTGGGATTTAGTACACCATGAAGAGAATTAGGAAAATTGAGATTTTAGAACAATAGCATAATTTGTGATTTTCATAAAATTGAACTGATTTTTAGAGAATGACAATTCCTTTTTTAGGAGCAGGAAGATGAGAAGGTGACAAGATAAGGTAAAAAATCTAATAGGTAGTAAGACTACAGTAAGTGAAGAGGTTTCTTAAATCAGAGGTAGAGTCTGTCTCCCTGAACCCACTAAGAACTTTCCCAATACATTTTTGAGTTAATAAACTTCTTAATAGAGCCTTAAATAAAACCCACAGATTTTACTTGTTTTTAAACACACAAACTGGGTCCAGCCTATGAAGAATACCCTCTAATGGGAAAAACCTTTCAATTTATTCTTGAGAAATAAATTCAGAATGTGTTTATGGGGGTTGGATGAAAAGAAAGATCAGAAAAGAACAAAACATTATTTATGCTGACCCTATTATGTAATTTCGTTTTAATTTAAAAAAATTGATCATGAACATAGTCATTAGTAAGAAGCACAATAAAAAGGCTAATAAAGGCTAATATCATTGCCTCACTTCTTTATGAGACTATTATAGCCAATTTTCTGTGTGCACAAACTAATATGATTACAGTTTTGCAAAACAGAGAACTAGCATAATATGAGCATAGCATATTGTCTTTAAAAAACAAGATGGCTCTATTTTTACTCTTATCAGAAGATACACATTTTTTATCTTTAACAGCTGCTAGCCTACAAAGAACTGAGCTACACAAAAACTTGTCCACAAAAATATCAACTGTATTTAAGGCATACATTTTCTTTTTGTAGAAAGGAAACTCTAAAATGTTTAAAATTTCTGATACACATGTAAATATTTAACAGGATTGCATTTCCACTGTAATATTTCAGAAACTTATTAACTGCATTTAAGCTTATTATATTCAAAACAACACTGATTCTGAGATTGCTTCAAGTCCCTGAAGTAATGCAAATGTCCAGATAACAGAGAAGGGGTAATAAGGAGTTAGGAGACAAGCATTGAGCAACAAAAGTGCTTTTCCTATAATTTTTCTTTTCCATAACAAAACATTCCATGTAGAATAACTTTGTTTTGAATACAATGCTGTCACTGTCACCAGATCAGATTTATGATGCTCAAGGTTAGATTGTTAACAAACAAGTGCTGAAGGATCTTGGCTTCCAGCAGGTTAAGCTCTGCCAGGAACTAAGTACCATTTTTATTTATTAAAGTTGAACTTATAATAATAGGAAAAAACAATCACATATACTTGTTGCCTTGCCAGTGTTCCCAGCTAACTGGCATCTCTTGGCAATTCTCCCCAGAACAGATTCTTGCCTCAGSTGATAAGCTGGAAAGCTACTTTATTAGTCTGGGTACATATCTCTGCCATATATGTACCATAAAATTGTACCTAAAAAATAAAAATGTATTTAAACTACTCTAAAAGTTCACATAGCTAGAGTATTTTTCCTCACAACAGAACAGTTTATCTGGGGTTTGTTTAAAATAGAGCATCCGGCTTTTAAAACCCTAACCTAGATATTTCAGTTGACCAAGCATATTTCTAACTCTGTTCTAAGAAAGCAAGATCTCTCTTCATCTTCGTTATAAAACAGGATAAAATAGAACTCTAACATTAACACACCAAGATTTTCAAATGTTATCTAAAACATACTACATAACACATTTAAAAATATCTATATCAATTAATACAAATTTTATACAGATTTAAATATGTATTGTCAAAGTTATCCACTAACCTGAATTCTACCCAAATGGAAAACAAGTATCAGTGTCACAGATCCCGATACTTTTACAGTTTCTCATTTATTCTTTAAATCCTCTACTGTTTTGCAAAAGTCCCGCATGAAATTCCTGGATGAACCATTGGCCTAATCCAAAATCTACTGAAATGAACAGACCAATTAAGAGGAACCACAGGATTTGGATAGAGGTTATAGTCTTAATCATATGATTGAACACATGTGGACAGGATCATTCTCCTCCTTCATGTTAAAAACATGTTCATCCCACCCACCCACAAGAGTTGTGCTCCTCACTCCAGACTGGCATGGTATGTAACTGGACACAAAAGCACAAAAGAAAACCAGTTACAAAACAACTGGCACAAGATTGGATGCGTGCGATTAAAATAAATCAAAACGGAAACCTTCTTTCTCTGTAATTGCTTCGCTTTAACCTCAAAGGATATATTCAGTAGCAGGTAAAAACATTTCAAAGGTCCTATTTTCAAAAGTAATTAAATGATACAGGCTTTTCAGTTCCACATTGAAAAGTGACACATAAATTGAAGATGTCTAGAGCTACCTTCACAGATGGGTACAGATCTGCCCAAGCATCTCTCCTCATATTCTGTGCTGGTGGGGCATGAGGCAGGTCTAGTTTGAGGCATCACCAGAGTATCAAGGAAGTCTTGCATCCTTGCAAGCCTAGCAGATCCTGCCTCTGAACCTGGACACGATGCCACTCCATTGCACTGCACTCAGCAGGATTCTGGTCCCTCCCTGCCCAGACATATTTGAAGTCATACTGATCTTTTGGTAACATAGCATGCAAATCTTATAAATACCCAGATTTGTAAGACAAAGTGAGGCTGAGAACTAAATACGTACTTGGAACTACAGGAAAGTACCTGGTGAGATTCTAAAACACATACCTGGATGCATACCTTCTTCTGATTTACAGTTCCTCCCTGAATTTACCAAACCTTCATCTCAAAATTTGGGTTCCTTAATGACTTTAAAATATCAGTCCCAAACATTTTAAAAATTAGGGTTACTCAGTATGTTTTTTTAAAGGTGTTCTTAATATGTTTCCTGAAGTCTTATGGGAAGAAGATCTCATTAATATCTCAGTACTAGAAGCCCATTATGGGTGTTTTCATTCATTGAAAATTACAACGATTTTTCTTATATTATTTTCTGGGCAGTGGGAACAAAAATAAAAGTAAAATTACAGCTTCCTTCATAGTCTCAGTATTTCTACTTTTTAATTTTTTTTGTGGAGAGAATAAGAAGGAATAAGTAAGAGAAGAAAAAAAGAAAGGGGCACAGTGTAAACATGAGCATTAAAACAACAAACAAAATGGACAGGTATGTTTTTACAAAGAACTGTCTGAGGGGATGTGATTACTTACATTGCCTTCCAAAAGTTCTTCCATGGAGCAACCTCGGTGCGACTGCTGGTATTTTTCTTGAAAAAGTTTTCCATCAAACACTGCCCAAGGCATCAGATCATCCATTTTGATTGGAAAGCCACAGGCACTGTTAGCCATGAGCAAAGTCGTAAGGCCACGAATAAGGACAGCGCCCAGATGGACAGCCCTGGGGTCTACCTGTGCAAGCTGCAAACACACACACACGAAGGAAGGCCTCACCAATCAGGAAATATGAGCAATCTTCCCATCACAGATAAACATGCAAACAGCAGAGGAAATTATAAACTGTCCCAAAGTTGTGACAATGATAGCTCTCTACTGCACAGTAGAATTTGTCTGAGGGTTCTCTATCTAATTTTATTCAATAAAGTGAAAGTAGTGAAGTTTAAGAAATACAGCATCTCACTCAAGTTTTTAAGACACATACATTCCAAATGAAAATGGAAAGACAAAATAAATTGCTATTCTCCATAGTATTTTTCAAGCATTAGCAGATCTGCAGGAAAAARAAAGTTCTTTTAGTGGAATATAAAACATGAACTGGGAGTATAAATTGATGTGTACAATGATCCACAGAACTTCCAGAGTTTGCTTACCCCAGAAATGTTACAGCATTTAAAAATCATTTAAATTACAGGATTTGACAGAACAAAGTTTATTGTATCCAAGTTTTTACTTTAAAAAATATCCTTTGACTGTAACTTGAAAGTCAAATTATTTCCCTTCAACCTGGATGTCTCCAGAAGAAATGGTGTGATAACATTTACAAAATGCAAAATGAGAAACTCAACAAGACAATTAAAACTCACAGCCAAAATAAACTCAATGGGTGAATTTAACATCCTATTGTGGCAGAGCATAGCAAAATATAAAAACCTTGAATCCAATATGGGAAAAACTGTGATTTTAAGTGTTGTTTAAACAATACAAAGCTCCTCAGTGGGCAGTGCCTTTTTCACAGTCTGTACCCAAGCAGTTTGTTAGGATCAGGAGAGATTCATAACAGTGTGGCCATCAATACTGTAATCCATGGTAGCTGTTGTACCCTGACAGTATGAATTATACCAGAAACGGAATAGTATCCAAAACACTCCAGAACAGAAAGGGCAAAAAGTGACTCAAATTGTCTTAGCCCTAGCTCCTGAAGAGCTGTGAACTGTTTTGTCTGAAATGCAATGGAAAGGGCTGGCCCATTATTACTGTGTCTTACACCTTGAAAGATCTCCAAAAGGCTTAAAAGATATGGACACACAACATCAGCACCTTATTTTTTAAAAAAAATGACAAGTAGTGAAACCCATGAAATGTAGTACTACTGAATAGGATTTTTTCTTCCCTAAGGTCCTCATAACAAAGTCAGGAAACATTTGCTAGAAATAAAGAGCTGTAAGACTTCTTCCAAAAATGAAAATTACTAATCATTTGGAGAACAGAGCCAGAACCTGGAGTAGGACTTAGGTTTTCTGCACTATTATGCAACGAGCTGAATTCTGTTGTGTAATTTGACTAGGTAAAGCGGACTTTTGTGATGTCCCCCTAACCACAGACAAGGGTCAGTGGGGTTCTGTTAAGATGACTTGAAGATATGAGGTGTACCTCCATGGGCTGTTTTCTGTACTGCACAAAAGCAAAAGAGAACCCAGATATGAAAATGCAGGCAAATGTTGCCAGGCAGGGAGGTCCAGAGCCCTCTGGGAAGAAATTCTTCTGTCTCTAGTGATTCCTGGAAAGGCATCAAGCTGGCCACCAGGGCACTGACCCAATATGACAGTAGTTGAAATTCATCCAGCATAGACTACTGGAGACAACCACTTGACATCCAGACTAATGCATGCAACACAAACTAATTTCACAGATTCATAGAATGGTTTGGGTTGAAAGGGACCTTAAAAGATCATCTAGTTTCAAGCCTCCTGCCATGGACAGGGACACCTCCCACTAGAATTTGAGCAGTCATTTAGAAAATGAAAGGTCCATCTTTTTCTGATCATGATACTTCACATTTGAGTACGGGAGACTCTCTTCTATCCTCCCTTTAAAAACAGAAGTATTTTCAGTAGGAGATCAGGTCATGGAGTTTCAGGAAGTTATTGCCTCCAGATGTAAGCTATCATTTTGCCAGCTGAGACTAGTAACTACATGCACACTCATACCTCTCTTGCTCTGGCAAGGAAAGTAGAGATCTGAAAACAATTTAACAATGCTGAAGGGTACTTGAAAGAGGAATGTGGCTTTAATGAACCACTATTATTTGTACTAAAGTAAACTGCAAGAGTGCACACAGCACCTTACCATGTTGCAGCTGAAATATTCTTACATTGCATTTACTAGCTTGTTTCTGATCACCAGAAAAAATCTTAAGACCTGTGAAGGATGTGTGTCCACATCATTTACCACCCCAGCTGTATTTTTTTAAATTATAATCGAGCTGATATATTGATCAAAAAGATAAAATAATGTTGCTGGTGACAGGCTTTGGAGGGTTTAAAATGGGGGGGGGGGGGTGTGCTTGTGTATGATGGATATTAGGTAAAGCTTGGTGTTTTGATGGAAATTAGTACAAGCCAGATGAAGGCAAGAGCTATCAACAGTGATTTCTTTATTTTAATAGGACAGGAAATACATTCACTGAAGGGTAGTTTCTATTTTCCAAGTCAGGCAATGAAAACCAAAGAAAATGAAAGCACAGTGAGTCTATAACAATCGGGCTGTGCACATGGCAAACCACAGAGTAGCCTTGCCATGGGAATGCTCACAACTGCTTGATGTCTGCAATGTTAAGATGCATGATGAGAAGTGGAAAATTCCAAAAGAAAAGAAGTCTTGTCTTGCAGGGCATTACACTCTAGAGATTACTTCCTTTCAGAAATTGTGCCTGTTCTTTTTACTATTTCTATAAACTCAGGACCCCAGTGAACCATGTGAGATACAGACCTGTTATCTCGCTGCTGCTACTCCTACAACCAGCTGATGACATTTATGTGACAGAGACAGGGAAAGTGTGAGAACTTCTCCTCCTGCACCAGCTGCCTCTGCTGTGCCCCTGCCGCTGTGCCTTGCCTACCAATGGCAGCTCTCCACCCTCCCTAGCATTTGGAGAAAAAGTTTACTTTTCCTATTTGTCAGCATTAACTGAAGACTGAGAACTCAAAAGTTCACAGTCCTTTAGCACCATTGCAGCAGATGTTACTGATACCAGAGGCCTAATCTGAACTGGGTAAGCTACTTGATATGAGCAATAGAAATGCTACAGCATCCACAACACTATGTATAAAAGTTTTGCCTAATAATTGAGAAATCTTTTTGCTAGATCTGTCACCACAGACTTATCTTGTGTCACCAAGTTCAGGCCAATCTCTGTGCATGTGCACACATTGACAACAGAAAGAGGCTTTGCAGGGTGGAATGTGTTTGCTCTCAGGAGCACTTCACAAATGTAGAACGAGAGACTGCAGATCCTGCTGAATAGTTTTAACTCTCAGGGAGAGAAAATACATGGATCTTGGACATGAAATGCAAATTTCCAGATCAAATTTTATCTCATGAAATAATATTAAAAATGATCAGGATATCAAAATACCTTTATGTTTTAAAGAAATAGTTCTCTCAGTCTTTGTGGATTCACAATGGATTTTTGATAGAGGTGTAAGCTTTATATTATGCATTTTGAAAGCTGCTCAAACTATTTCCAGGAGCATACTAAAAAAACCCTTTGCCCCTCAACTTAATTGAATTTAAAGGGTTCAAATTCTGCTAAAATGAAAAATAGGTTCTATGACAGCTGAAATGTGAGGGCGAATATCTGAACATGCCAGATGTCAGCAGACACAAAGGAAAGCTAGAACTACACACACCACCAAAGCCACCTCACTACCTGAATTTCTAGAAAACCAAGGAGAAAGGTAAAGATATGATGGTAATTTTGCAATTTTTTAGTTATCCCACTTTATGTGTCCTCTGTACCTCAATGTACTAAATACTTCATTTCATTTTAAAAACAGTTCCTTTAATAAGATTTTCAACAACACTCAGGACATGCTCTTTCTTAAAAAAAAATCTGTATTAATAATTGTTACTTAGTTAAAGTTTACTTTTTTCCTAATCTGTTACCGTCTTCCTGTGATGAAATTGAATACAGAACACATGAGTGCAGCTAACATTTTGAGACATAACTTTAAAATGAAATAACTTCAAAATTACATAGGGCATTGCTCCCACTCCTCCCTTCCCTACCCACCAAAAAAGAACACACCTGTTTTCATGATAAAAGGGAAAGTGTAACACTTCTGGTTAAAATTAATCAATTCAATAACAATACTTACGAGTCAATGTAATTTGCCTCATGCAATAAAGTGCTGGAATTCAAGTGGTAGTGATCAAAATCTGTGTACTTGTCTAGTTTAACCAGTTCCTTTTAGATTCATTTGAACTCAGTTGGTATATCATCAGTCTGATACTTCTTTCATTAACTTCCCCAGAAGTCACCTGTATCTTAAATGATCAAATATTTAACCATAGGCACTTTATGCTTGAGCAATAAAGGCAGAAGGTAGATTCTATCTCAGGAACTTGTCGTTAAAACAGTAAGGCTCAGCTTTGTCTGAGAGAACTAAGGTACGCTGTTCTAAATATAGAGGGATGAATGCTCAGCTGATGACAACTTAAGTTAAATTGTCTGCAATGGAAAGCATCACAGCAAACTGGTGCAATGTTGTAAAATTTAAGGACTGTCACCCTGCAGAGGTGGGCTGGTGAAACAGTACATTTACTAGCCATCAGTCAGCTCTAAGCAATAAGCTGTTGGGACCTGTCAAACGCAGGGGGGAGAGGAGTACCAATATTTTGAAAACAGACTAAGGTTTATTCTGATAAAAGATTACAGCTTAAATTAAGCTCTTCCTGCTTAAACAAGGTGTGTGCAAAGGAAAATGGGGATTGAAAAGAAATCCTATGAAGGCATTGGCTGCAACAGAAACTAGAAAAACCAGTTTTTAAAGACTTCTAAGACTTTGAAGTAAATATTTAGCAGTAAGCAACCCAATTGTTTAGTATTTCTGTGTTCAGGAAAGTTTATTTACTGGGTTTTATCAGGATTTTGATGTAAAATGATACCTCTCTATGGAACAACACTCTTATTTACATTAAGCCAAACCCTGAGGTAAACATAAAAAAAAAATTGCTTTTAC